ATTGTCTTTTGTGCAGCACTAAGCCCAAGAGAAGCAGATGTGCCAATTTCTCCTGGTAACTGAAGAGAGAGAGTAGTGTCATTCAGCTGCCAGAAGGGAGCAGGCCTTAAGAATTGTGGCCATCTTCTCCACACCCACCCCGAATAAATGTTTAAATAATTTCCACCAGTTTCTGTCAAATCAAAGCCAGGAAAACATATAAATGCAGCCAGAGTTACCTAAGCCTTGTTAGGTTGAATGTGGCCAGAATTACAGTGGAAATGCGAATAAACGTTTTTCTTATTTCTTCTCCTAGTCTTATGTGCCTTCTCTTGTAATAATCCATATTAACTTTTATTTGATCCGTACTTACATAATGTCCCAGATTCCATTGTGAATTTCTGATTAAACTGTGGGCCAGCTCCTTGTAAAACTGAAGACAGCACACACTCACTTTAAAAATGGCAAATGTGGTAGAAGCCTGAAGCTTGAATTTGCAGGAAATTAGTGTTTTATGAGCCCCCCTGGCCCTGACAGACAGCACACATAATAAAAATTAAACGCTGGATTTCAAGTTCACACTGTTGAAAAGGCTGTGCTATTAAACAACCTTGTTTCCACTACATCTTAATTTTCTTTGGGAACAATTGAGCTTTCAGGTGAACTCCTGTGGAGTGCATAGAGGTTTGTTTTTTAATTAAAAAAAATCCACAAAGTTGAAATTGTATGGGAAATGGGCAAAACTGAATATTGTTCACCTAACCTGGATGAGCTCATAGTGGTTTTAGCAATGGAACTTAACTAGATTTAGTAAAAGTTACAGATAGGTAGCCGTGTTGGTCTGCCATAGTCAAAACAAAAAAAATTCCTTCCAGTAGCACCTTAAAGACCAACTAAGTTAGTTCTTGGTATGAGCTTTCGTGTGCATGCACACTTCTTTCAGATTTAGTAAAGTATATGTATAATAATTGTCATAATAGGTGCTGTCTCTAGACTAGTGAAAACATGTGTTCTGCAGTAGGCCCAGTTGATGCAAGGTAAAAAACGTTTTGCTTGATCATGTAGCATAAATCTGGCTCCTTATGGCCTTTCTTACTAATTTTGGGTCTTTAATTGATTAAAGTAATGATTCTTTTTAATTTGCCACCATACCTACAAACTAAAAATGTGTTGAATTTAGAGATCCCATAAGTGTAATTCTGTGTTCAGAGCCTCTTGCTCACAAATGGGTTGTGTGTCATTTTTACTCATTGCTTTCTGTAACCCCTGAAAATTCTCTCAAGGGATTGGGGGGGGATATCTTCCATCAGTGTGGATGGTGGCACAGGAGACTGTGGGAGAGGGAATTGCTGCAATTTGTCTAGCTTCCAGGAGCAGGAAATGTCACGGGATTGCCAGACCTTTGGCTGGTTTCAAGCCACAAAACTGATATGTATTCCACTTAATGGCAACATGGTTAAACTCCCATAAAATGGAGAAAATACTTCTTAACTAGTCTGGTTCTTGAAACCGGGGATATTGCAAGTGGTGGTTTCATACTTGTAGAATAGTACTTGGAACATTCACAGCAATGCTTCTTAAATGGAAACTTGCTGTTCACCGTTTAGGGTTTATCATTACAGGTAGGTAGCCGTGCTGGTCTGCCGTAATCGAAACAAAATAAAAAAATTCCTCCCAGTAGCACCTTAGAGACCAACTAAGTTTGTTATTGGTATGAGCTTTCGTGTGCATGCACATCTGAAGAAGTGTGCATGCACACGAAAGCTCATACCAATAACCAACTTAGTTGGTCTCTTAAGGTGCTACTGGAAGGAATTTTTTTATTTTGTTTCGACTAGAGTTTATCATGTTTGACAGATTTATGTTTGCATTAATACTTAATAATACTGGTGTGAATATATCCTCTGAATTTAATAGCAAGTTTTAAAATGTCTGTTGTACTTAGTCTCAGTGTTGTTTTTAAATTTGAAACTGAATAATAGAAGGGTCCCCCCCCTTTATTTTCATGGCCCTTGCTACTATTTGCAACCAGATGCTGTTTTAGAGTGTTTTTATATAATGCTACAATTGCCTGGAAATTGAAGATGTGGTGAAAGTCAACTTCATTGTACTTGTCACAAGCAGAAGCTTCTTTGGCTCTTATGAGTGAATAAGATGTTGTTAAAGCAGTAGTAGGAAGTTCAAGCTCACTGACCTTCTTATTCTTTTAAATAAGATTTCTTAACCTACCTTTCACCATAAAGTGCAGATGTCTCTGGGAATCCCACCAACAGGGTATGTGTTCAATACCACTCTCCCACTTACGATCCGAAACAACTGGCATTTGTAGGCATATTGTTTCTGAGATATATATATATATATATATATATATATATATATATATATATTGTTTAATCTCATTTTGAATCTCCCTAGTTGATGGCCAACACTTGCGATGGCCACTTCTCACTCAGTGAAACTATAGAATTTGCTATTTTCTTGTGGTTTACTGGAGAGTTGTTGTAGCTGACACTCCATGAGGGATGGTTTGAGTGCAAGTTGTAAAAGACTGGGTCCAAATCCAACCAAACACAGCTTAGAGTGCATTTACTCTACACAATGTGGCTATGATTGTGAAAAAAAAATCATATCTTAGCTACTGACACACTGCCATTCACAATAGTACATAGCCAAGGATAGTTTTACCTAATCTTGAATAATAACAGTTTTGTTTTGTTATGTAGCAAAATATTAAATTGAAAGAGACAGATTGTGCTTAATCATGGCTCCAGTTATTCCATGTTGTTGGTCCATAGAGAAACTGGAGGCAGCATGAGTACACTTTCCCCAACTCACATAGAACCATTACTGTGAACTGGAGCTTATATGAGTAGCCTTATTTAGCCAAGTCTGCCTCTTTGCTTGCATACTCCCTTGCACAGGTGTTTTGTCCCTGTAAGGTCCAGTTCACCTTAAAGGCACTGCATACTGTGAGAGAAGATGATACATGAGCTTAAGGTAGACTCCCACACCCTTGCCTGTGTACATCCTGAACCCTAGCGAAGTGTGAACTAATTAGAAGCAACCCTGGGAGATGCTTGATGAGATTTTTGATAGGGATAGTGCTTAGCTTTGGATGCCTTGGGCAGGAAAGCGGCAACTTCACAGCTAAGTGCCACTTCTGCATAATGGTGTCGTGGACAATCTGTCATCATGGAAGGAGAGTGAAGAGTATTTTAAGTGCTTCATTCAGAGCTTGTTAATCTTGTTATAAGTGCATGCGTGGCTTCCTTTTTGCAATCTCTACTCCCTCAGCATCTCCAAACAGCAAGCATTTGTTTTCAAGCTCCTCCAGTCACCTTTGTATTTCTGCTGGGTTCTCAAAATCAGAGCTGTGTACTTAAACAGGCTACAAACTATATATAAAAACAAGTTTTTAATCTACTTTTAGTGGTGACCTAACCTATGTTTGTACCTTGGCATCAAAACTTCACTTTTTACCAACAGTGAAGCTTCTTGTGAATTGAATGTGTTGTGTAAAGGAACAGACACTTGAAACTTCATAGAAACTAATCTTCTCCTCCTAAAAAGGTCTGTTGAATTATTATGCAGTGCACAAACATAAGCAGATGCACAAACTTTTAATATCCGTTTCCTTTCACAAATGACATTAGAAATAAGCATTGGAAAAGAATGCAACCAACGTTAGTAGTATAATCACAAGCTTTAGAAATTGGAGGGTGGGATGTCGCATAGTTACAAAACAGATGCCTGTTTGAAAAGCTGTGTTGCAAGTGTAGAGGAAGGAAGATCTTGTTATCCTCTGTGGGTGATTACTTTGCTTTTAAACCCTAATGGCCTCCAGTGAAATCAGTTTCTCATCAAAGGACTAGCTGGGGTATAAAACAAACACTGATGCTGCAGGCTTCCCTTGCTTGTTTGTGGAATAAGAATTCAACTTATGCTTGGCTTTGATGAGTTCAGAGGAAATGTATTTGTTGCCGTTGAACCCTGGTGCCTCCCTATGGGTGGTCCTTGCTGCCATTAGAGAGAGGGTTGGACTACCATCTTAAAAGGATGGCAGACACACCACTTATTCTCTGCCACTTATTTACTAGATATGAAGGTTTACCATCAGTTTCCTATAGGAAAATCCTCTGTTGCTGCAAAATTATTTAAAATACCAGCCTATCCAAGAAACATGCATTAATTATCTGTTAGTTTATTCAACAAGTGCAAATGAAATTCTCTGTGGGAAAATGTGGCTAATGTTGCATACTAGTGATTTCACATCACAACAAATTTGGTTATAATTTGAATAAGTAGCTGCAAGATTAGTCTTGACAGATCAGTGGTGAAGGTGCTGTAGGGGTTGTCCAGATATCTATCTTTCTATCTCTATCTGGGTCAGGCACTTCAAGAACCTACAGGACAGCAAGTCCTGAGGATAATGAAGTGAAGTTAAACACAAGTCTTTGTCTTTGTCTTCCAAAGATGTCAAAAACCATGTTTAAGCCATAGTCATTTTTTCATAGGCATGGAAATCCATCTAGTATTATGATACAGATATTCTTGTGTCTCATAGTCAAGAGCTGTTAATGATAAAAAAACCTCAAATTTTAATTTCTGAATCTTGTAAACCAAATGGGGATTGATTTGTAACCTTCCATATCCTGGAAGTTGAGACCTTGCATCATCCATTAACCACTTGGCAGATGGGAAACTGAGGCTGATAGTGATTCTACATTCTAAGCTGGTATTTGAACCCCTTCAGTTCCCGCTGAAGGAGAATTAGAGGGATTTCTCCACTCTTCCCACTCATGTCTTCTACTTCTAATGCCTGAGGCTGGATAGTTTCTCCAGTCAATATAATCTTGGCCACATTGAAGCCTTTTCCAAGGCAGGAGATAATAGCATTTCATAATTCTTTTTTTTAAAATATGTGCTTCCACCTTTCTCAAGCTATTTTCACCTGTGTTGGCATCAAAATGTGATTTTGGAATCAGTTACAAAAACCTCATTCGTTTGATTTTCCCTTTCAGGAAAGCAGCGTATACAACAGTTGGCTGAGAACATCAGGTATTTCCGAAGACGGCTTAAGGAAATGGGCTTTATCATCTATGGAAATGAAGACTCACCTGTTGTACCTTTGATGTTGTATATGCCAGCAAAAATTGGGTAGGTTATATAGGGAGATAGTGATCGTTTAGCTCTAGCAGAAGTGGTAACAATTGGATGTATTCCCAACTCCCTGCATAATAGTTGGTGCTACAGCAGTAGCAGAAGAAACGGTTAGGGAATTGACATTTGACTTATGGGAGCAGGGATATATGAAGCTACTTCTGTAGGTGGTTAGACTCCCAGACTCTTGGGAAGCTGGATTATTGCCCGGTTCCACATCCTACTTGCCTTGTTTTTTGTCACTGCATGGAATCACAGAGCATTCCTAGATATTTCTGCACAGTGCAAGCTGCCTGCTCAGATAGCAATTGGCAAGGGAGGGGGTGGGTGGAATTCTTGGTGAGTGAGCTCCAAAGCTGGAGTTTCTGTGCTCTATCAAAGATACTTTCAAGTTTAAGTTACAAATCCGTTTAGAAGTAGCCTGCTAAAAGACCAGCCCCTGCCAAATAGAATCTTTCAGCTTTGTGTGAACTTAATACAGTGAAACCTTTCTAGAAAGACCACCTCCGGACTGAACAAAAGAGACCTTTGTATGCAGGCGCTGTGTGTTTCTAAGGCAAGCAGTCAGAACAGTGGCCTCCCAGGCATTCTTCACGAAAGCACCCCCCCCAAGCAGCATAGGCCTTGTATTGCTGCTGCTGCTGCTGCTGCTGCTGCTGCTGCTGCTGCTGCAGCTTCATTAATCTTGTCTTGCTTCCTTCACAGTGCATTTGGACGAGAGATGTTGAAAAGGCACATAGCTGTTGTGGTCGTGGGTTTTCCTGCCACTCCGATCATTGAATCCAGAGCCAGATTTTGTCTGTCTGCAGTGCTTACCAAAGAGATACTTGATATTGTAAGTATTCAAGATTGTCCCTGCTCTGTCATCTTTTAACTAGTCTTAGCAGTTGAGTATGAAAGAGTTCTTCTGGTCAGGAGCAGCACATCATGAGACATGTGCTTAGGTTGGACCAGTGTTCTCCTAATTCTGGTGTTTTTAAAGTTACTGCATTTTCTTATGATTGCAATGGGGCACTGCATAACCTAAGTTAGACTGCTTTGGTTTGTAAGTCTAAGTGGGGGGAAATTCTGTCCCTCTAGAGTCCTAGAGGCCCTGTACTGAATCAACCACGGTATTATTAAACAGTTGATTGACAGGAGAAGAGCTGTATGAAGATGTTCTAGACAACATTTCTGACTTTGTGACACTGCATTTGGAAAGAGGTTGCGTAATTTGCTTATAAGCATGTTGAGCTAAATGCAATTAAATGATATGTTTAAAATTTATTGTTCTTTGTGTTTACACACCAGACTATATGCACAGCATCACTGTGTTTTAGTGTATTGCCAAAAGACTGCTACAATTTTTAGTAACTGCTGAGAATTCCCGCCCCCCTTTTACTTCAGAAACTATTCTAAAAATATTGCCATCTGTTAGTTTGAATTTAGATTAACTTTACAGTTACTGATCTGAATGCATGGTGCCTTACCTAACCTTTGTATGTACAGTGGTGCCTCGCAAGACGAAATTAATTCGTTCCGCAAGTCTCTTCGTCTTGCGGTTTTTTCGTCTTGCGATGCACGGTTTCCCATAGGAATGCATTGAAAATCAATTAATGCGTTCCTAGGGAAACCGCCTTCAGACCAGGTCCGGGGACAGACTGTCCCCGGACCTCTTCTGAAGGCTGGGGGGGGGGACAAGGGCTTTTCTTCCCACCCCCAGCATTTTAAAAAACCCTGGGACAGCGGAGGACTTCTCCGCTGTCCGGGCGATCTTAAAATGCTGGTGGGCGGCATTTTAAAATCGCCCCGGGACAGCGGAGGACTTCTCCGCTGTCCGGGGCGATTTAAAAGCCCCTGGGAAGGCAGGCAGGGGGGACGAAGACTTTCGACCGCCGCCCGCCTTCAGAAGGTGTTCCCGCCCCCCCCCGCCCGGCTTCGCAGCAGCGCTACGAAGCCCGGCGGCTGGGGCAGGTGTTCCCGCCCCCCACCCGGCTTCGCAGCAGCGCTACGAAGCCCGGCGGCTGGGGCAGGTGTTCCCGCCCCCCACCCGGCTTCGCAGCAGCGCTACGAAGCCCGGCGGCTGGGGCAGGTGTTCCCGCCCCCCCCCACCCCGCTTCGGAGCAGCGTTCCGAAGCGGGGTGGCTGGGGCAGGTGTTCCCGCCCCCCGCCCGGCTTTGCAGCAGCGCTACGAAGCCCGGCGGCTGGGGCAGGTGTTCCTGCCCCCCCACCCCGCTTCGGAGCAGCGTTCCGAAGCGGGGTGGCTGGGGCAGGTGTTCCCGCCCCTCCACCCCGCTTCGGAGCAGCGCTACGAAGCCCAGCGGCTGGGGCAGGTGTTCCCGCCCCCCCACCCCGCTTCGGAGCACTGGGAGAAGCGATCTCCCCGCAGCCCCTTGCTTCAAAAGAGGTCCAGGGGCAGACCTCTTTTGAAGCAAGGGGCGGTGGGGAGAAGCGATCTCCCCGCCGCCCCTTGCTTCAAAAGAGAAGACCCGCTGTCCCCGGGGCAAGCTTCGTTTTGCGAAGCAAGCCCATAGGGAAATTCGTCTTGCGAGGCAACTCGAAAACGAAAAAACCTTTCGTTTTGCGAGTTTTTCGTCTCGCGAGGCGTTCGTCTTGCGGGGTACCACTGTATACGTGGGATAAAAATGTGCAGGAATAAAAAATCGTGCTGCATATTTGCAGGATTAAAAGAATTAGCAACGAGAAGAACATGAAAGCAAGTGGAGCTGAATGTGTACTACTTTATAATATAATATAAAAATGAATGACTTTTTATATTATTATTATTTATTAAATTTGTTACAGAAAATCTTAATGGGAGAAGTGGATTTTGGAGGGTACATACCTCCATTTATTCAGGTGCCCAAAAATCTGAAAGTTGAGTAATAACAGACCCAATAAGTAAGAGATCAATAAGCTCCACTACTTTTATGGCAAAGGATGCCTGTTGTAGGCCATTCTGATGTCTAAACAGGTATATGAAAATAGTGAGCTTTATCTCTAAAACAACTATGCAGGATATTTAGCAATATAGTGCCAAACAAGAAATGCATGTAGGGAATACGCATCAATGTTACACCTGGGGTCATTGAAAAACACAGCCCATGCAAAGAAGTTCTGAAGACCCTTATATGTACATAATATGCCTGTGTTTCATACGTTAGTATGTTTGCATGGGTTTGAAAAGTTATAGTATTTTTATTTAAGAAGTGATGGACCTGTTCAGAAACCTACCTGTCCTCCAAATGGACTGAATTCAGAGGACCATATGTAACAGGACTGACAGAAGTTGATTTTCCCACCCCTCGTCACCTTGGCAGCACCCCCCACTCCAAATATTCCACAAGGGGTGAGAGACCCTGCTGAATGGGTTGGGCTGTGGTTCTGAGGGACTGAGGTGGGAAATGGGATTCCTGAAACTAGGACAGCACTCACTGAGTAGTGCCACACTAGAACAGAAGAAGGCTGTATCACTTTACTTAAATCCCTGGTAAGAATACCAAAGTAGCTTGATTTATGGAAACATGAGCCTTTCTTCCTTCAGAATAGGTAATGTTCCACATTTTGAGCATGGCTGGAACATTGATCTGAACTGTCTTTTCTAAATGATCACAAGTGCTGACAGGTAGAAAGTGGGAGCAGCTTTCCTGAGCTAACAAAAGCAAAAAAGAGACCTTACAGAGCTGGTCCATGTACCTTCCTCTTACTGGCTGAAGAGAGCACATATTTTCTCATTTTTTCCCTTTTCTCTCCCTACCTACTCTGTGTTGAGTGAGGAGGTCTCTTAAAAAAAATTTAAAACCTGATATTTGTAATGCTTCCTTATTAAATCAACCCACATGATGGACAATGGTTCTCTGGTACAATGTATAACTCTAATGTAAATAAAACTTGCTTGCCTGAAAATACTTTGGCCCTGGATCAGAGCAGAGCCCCTCGTAACTTGCATCCCTGTGGGCTGGTGCTTTCTTTTCAGCGATGAAAAATATATTACACTTTCCTGAAGTCAGAGTTCAGCCATGCCATTTCCTTTGTAGTCTTTGCAAGTCACATGCTTCTCTTTGTTTTAAATTAATAAAATCCTAAATCTGAGTTGAAGAATAACAGTTAACGGACTCTTTCAACAGAAATTCAACCTCAAATTATTTCCACATGTTGCCTTTTGCTAAAGCTGTGCTTAAAATATGCTCACAATTAGACAGTGTTTGGCAATTTCTACCCTTTCCCCCCCCCCTCTTGAATTCAGAGCTTATGTGGCCCCTGTTTGGGGCGGGGGGGGGGCGCTTTCTCAAACTCTGTCACCACCTTGAGGTTTCTTGGCATATGGCACTCATTTATTCACTTTCTGTTGTCAGTTATTGGGGCCACATAGGTTGTGTGGGGATAAGAGCTACCGAATTGTGGGTAGGGCAGGAGAGTCGTTATTTCCTTACACTTGCCACACAATGTTCCTGGAGAAGAATGGACTTCATAAAAGAGAGTTGCGGAAAAAGAAGGGGTGAGGATTTGTGCTTTAGATAAACGTATGTATGCTGACCTAGAGAGGAAATTTTGTGTGTCTACTGGTTTTTCCTTACTAGAGCTTTAGAAGCTTTTGCAAACTTAAGTTCTATCCACATTGGAACTAGTGGCAGGTATAAACCAGGTTGGGCAAGCTTCAGGCTTGTTAGAGCCACTCTGTGGTTTTTTACCAGAACCCCCAAGTCTACCAGCCAGAGCCAGGTGCAAATGGCATAATATTGCTAGAATTAAAGAACAAGGGTGCCTCTAGGCACATTCTGAACCCGGGAAATTGTCCTTAATACCAGAATTGAACTCAGCTCACATTCCTTACACATACAAATCTAGCCCTGGTTAGCTTTCTTCATATCAATAGGAATGGTGGAACTTGTGCTCTCTGGTGCCTCTCCAGATCTGATCAGGAGGGTTAGATGACCTGCCAGAGTAGACTTTGGGGAAGGTGCAGAGTGAGGAGAGAGCAGGGAGGTTCTGCTATATGAGTGTGAGTTGTTCTACGAATGCAATGACTTCATTGGCCTTTGCCATTATGTTTTTTGTAAATTATTATTTTGAAAGATGCTTTTATTGTTTTATCACTTGTTTATGCTGCCCTGGGCTTCGAAGGGCAGGATATAATTTATTTATTTTTAATTCCCCCCCAAAAAATGTTTATTTGTTTCCCACCACCACCATGGCTGCCGCCGCTGCTAAAGGCAGCCTCCACACCCGGGCAGGATATAATTTAATAAAGAAATGAGGCACAGCTTGGGATTGAACTGCAGTTATGTTCAATAATGGTAGAAGTAGTACTTCATTATTCCATCAGCTATGTGCTTATTGCCATACAGAAAGAAGAAAGCCTGCCCTAGAAGAAGCTCACCATCTCCAGGGAGAGGAAACAGAATATTGGAGATAAATGTTAATAAAAAAAGAAGAAGAAAACTTAATCCAGCAGCCCAGTTTTGAGTTTTCTCAGCCTGAAACCCTCCCCTGGGCTGCATGCAGATCTCCTTTTGAAACTAAGCGAGTTTCAAAAGCAGTTTAGAGCATGAGATTGGCTGTCTGAAGCAAGCATGGGGAACCTGTCGCCCTCTATATGTTTCTGGAATACTGACTCTTATGGTCCCTGACTCTTAGCCATGCTAGCTGGAGCTGATAGGAATTTAAATCTAGGATCTGATGGGGGTGGGGGGCTACAGATTCCGTAGCCATGGATTAAAGCAGAAAGGTAAATGAAATCAATTGTGCTAATACAATCCCCTTGCATGAGCGCAAACATCTCTTTAGATCCTAGCCATTGTGTTTCCCCACCTTTTTCTTCATGCAGCAATCCTTAAAAAAGAAAAAAGCACCTGATATTCTTCTTTTTCCAGGCTTTAAAGGAAATAAATGAAGTTGGAGACCTCTTGCAGTTGAAATACTCCCGGCATCGACTGGTACCTCTCCTTGACCGTCCTTTTGACGAGACAACATACGAAGAGACTGAAGACTGAGTTCTCTCCCTGTCTTTTGATAGACAAGGCACACTCCTCAGAACTCTGTGTGGCTCAAAGACCAAGGTTCTTGAACCAAACACTGACGGACTGCTTAGCATAAACAGAATGACTTCTTACTCACAAAACTGAAGTGGCAACAACAGCTAGAACTGGTGTGTTGTGAAAAGCAAAACAAAACCTGGCTTTTCTTCCTATTGCTTTAAGGTCTTGCCCTAGGGAGGAGTTTGGCTTACATTTTTAAAATGCTGATTCCCTATTTGTTTGTCACGATGAGATCGCGGCGGCCACTGTTGGCAGTGCTGCAAGGTGGGCATTGCTAAGGATGCTTCTGTCACGACGTTTCCTTTTTCATGACTACAGTCTAACCTCCTTGAGAGTGCAAGACCAGCCAGTTTCTTCAGCTAAGGCTTCTGATGAAATCATTGACAGCTAGCTAATTTGAATATATTTAACATGAAATAATCAACCAAAGTCTTTTCCTTGTCCCTTTACGTAGTGCTTTTTTTTTTGTCTTTGTTATTACAATGGTGGTTGACTTGCCTCTTAAGGACTGTTAGTCAGTTCTTTAAGGGACAAAGCAGGAATCCTCCCAGGGCCTTTATCCATCTTGATATTTCAGACTGGGTTCCAAGTGTTCCTTCTTTAGAGTAAGTAGCAAATAACATTTCAGAGCAGGATAGAACTTTGTGGACATTTCCCTTTCCCTGTATAGAATTCCTTCAGCTCCAAGGTGTCCCCACAATTCCAGTTTCCAGGATGAGTTCTAGTGTTGCTTGTTGGATTAATGAGTGTTTGTCTTTAGCTCTGGGGTGTGTGTGTGTGTGTGTGTGTGTGGTCAGATGAAGAACCAGATTGGGAGGGAGTAGCATTCCAAACCACCTTCCTTTTCCTCCTTTCACATATTCCTGCTCTACTTTTTGGCAGAGCTAATGATGCAGCTCTTCAGAACCTAAATGCTGATGGTCTGCCTACTCAGAGGGCCTTTTGTGATACTTGAATTGCTCTTGCTATATTGATACCAATTAGGTGTTTGCTGTGGCCACAGAAGGTAGGCAGCAGAAGGCAAAATCCCATTACAACATGTATGTATTTTTTTGAAGTTGCTTTTGTAGCAATCTGTGTATCAAGAGCAATTCCCAAATACACAAAGGTGAGGGGTGGGAATGAGACTATTAGTCTGGTGAGTTTCTTTGTGCGAGTGGAAGCAGCCATTTTATTAGCACAATATGAAAATACTTTGATCTTTGGATATTTGCCTCAAAATATTTAAGAATAGCCTTGGAAGCAAAAAAGAAATATGCCTTGTTCACTTTTTAGAAAAATCGTGTTGGAGAATTTGATTCTTAGAAGCATACTAAAGTAAGAAAAGAGTTGCCATTGACTTATGTCTTCCAGTGAATTCAGTTACAATGGCTATTATTTAATTTACTAGAAATCATATATAGGCTGTTCATTGGCAGAAGTGCAGTGTGCTGTTTTCACACATATGCATTATGAAGTCAGAGTATCCATGGTTCACCTTCATACTCTTTAACCACGTACTTTTTTTAAACTTTTTGCACGGAGGAAACCTCCCCACTTGTACATTTCCAGTAAATTATTGCAAAGGATTATGCGTAACAGTAGAAAATTCTGAGCAGCTGAAGATCTGCCAGCTTGCTTAAAGAGCCTCTGCTTAGCCTCTCAATATGGCAAATACTTCAGCTAGGTCAGGGCAAGGATTTCCAAAGTCTGATTCAGAATTAAGGAATAATAATACTTGACCAAAGAACAGATTGTAGTTGCTAATATTGTGCAGTGCCACTTGCCAAGGCCTGAAACAAAGGCAGAACTAAGATTTTGCAATTGTGTTTCCAAGTCATATGCTGGCACGGAGTTTTTGATCATGTGTTGAACATGTTAGATATTTTGAAACTTAACAGTAAAATAATAATAATTTTATGCTGTATATATTGAGCCATGTGGCCTTAGCACCAAGAGCCAAATGCACAGGAAGTGGGAAAGAGTCAAAATAGCATCTAAAAGTTTCTATTTCACCTAAATTCTTGGTATCCCACAAATAACTTGAAATGTGTTCACTATAAACTGGCTTTGCTGGAAATAGTGGTCTTCATTGCCACTAGATCTCAACTATGCTTCTTTTGGGGACCTGCCACCATCCTCCATCTGCGTCAATGCCAGATCACGATATAATAATATTATATATCCTAATAATTCCTAAGACCTTCTGCCCAGGATTACTGAGAGTACTGGGAATGACAACCCTATGTTTCTGTATCAAACTGCTTAAGGGCGGCACCATGCATAGCTGTTTCAGGAAGCATTGGTGTTGCAGGCAGTGCCTTCCGCAGCAAACATGTCAAGTGCAGCGATAAGATATTTTGGTGTTTGTTCCAACATTCATAAAAGTGGTGCTGCCCTAACCTAGTTTACACCAGGACTGCTGTGGGACCTGTGGCCCTCTAGATGTTGTATGGCCACCGCATCCATTATCTCTGACTATTGACCATGCTGATAGATGAGAGTTGGGAGTTCCAACAATGACCTGGATTTCCCTTCCCTAGACAGGACCAAATATAAGGATTCAATAGTTTAAAAATCCATTCCTTGGGATTCAGCTAAGGAACTGCCTGCCCTTGCACTCAACTGACTTCATCCCAACATCAGGGGATGCAGTTTGGCAAGACTGCTAGTTCAACAGCTGAAAAGCTTTCATTAAAAAAAATAATCAACTATTCTGTCTTCATAAATATGAATGCTGCCATGTGCATGTGTGTGTGTACACACAGTCTTAGGATGATACAAAGCTACTTTGAGGGGAAAGCGGGTGTATGAAATAAATGCAGGCCATTTTTAAGCATGTTTTTGTTAACATTTTCCACAATTGCATTAGCAGAAGTACTTCAGTAACATCTTCAAGGGGAACTGGACGACTTAGCTGGATGAATGAGGTCAGGTGGTATGTCTGAAAGCTGAACTGAATCCTTAAACTGTACAGGAGGACAATGTGATACTCCCCAGGAAAGGTTTTTGTGTGTGCTTTGGGTGATGGGTAGGGAAGAAGGAAAATGCAGGAGACAAATGCCTCATCTGCTGTTTTTCTTTTGCTTTGTATCCTTTGGTAGAGTTGGATGCCAGTATCAGGTGGGGCCAATATATCAGAATATCCAGTACCCGATATTTAACATAAGATTTATTTGACACAGTGTCAGCATGTCTCTTGTATTCTAATGCTGTCTCCCACCACACACCAATATTTTCCAAGTCTTCTCATTCCAGAAAAGATTATAGTATTGGTTTGGGGATTCATACTGTTCCCACACTCAACCTACAATGTGGTATGATATGGCTGATGGGCATGAACGACAACTTCCCTAGGTTTTGAAAGGGCTGTTTGTTGCCTGTATGATCAATCTTTGGGAAACGCAGGTGAAATTGTATTTTTTTGCAGGACGTTGGGTGGTCTTCTTCTGAAAGAACTGATTTCTTGCCAAAGAGATTATTACAAAATATCAAGATTGCACTCCAGACTTGCTTGGCTTCATAATCTAGACAGCTTATCCAGAAGGGGACAGTGAAACATCACAGCCCTCACTATACCAAATAACAGATTGCTTGTGTTGGAGCAAGCGAGCTTGAACCTTACGCTTCTCTGAAACCCACATTATCAGTAGCAGCTGACATGCTCTTGCGTGTTGAATTTCACGTACAAACGGAAAGACCAGGAATACCCAAGAAAGATCACTTTTGGTGGTGGTGCGGGGGCGGGGTATGTTTGGTCTCTGAACCTTAATTTGTTGGAGGGAAGGTGTTTCTCCCCACAAGGGCAAGCATAGAGAGCAAGGGGAAAGGAACAAACATTGCAGGGGTCAAATCCACAATTGGCCTGCAGAGATATATAGTTGGTGTATTTAGCAGTTGTTTTCCTTCGTGCCCCAAATACCACATTGCAACATACAGGGCTGTGTATCCGCCTGGCAACTTGTGGTTTTCCTCAGCTGCCCCTCCGTGGTGATTATCCACCCCTGCCCTCACTTTTAAAACAGGGGTGAGCCTTTGAAGGCTACCTACTGCTGTGAGTCTGGCTGCCTTGGGACCAGAGTTTGAAATATATGGGACCATCCAAAACTAATTGTTTTTATTTCTTATTTTTGCTGAAAATGAGGGTTTGAGTCGTGTAGCTTATATACTTCCTGAGAGGTTATTCCACCCCCCACTCCCCACATTCTTTGTACTCTGGTCTAAGTTCTAGAGTCAATGTGACACAGCGTGTTGCAGAGAAAACAGACATTGTCTTTCCAGTGCTTGTCTTTTCCAAATGCACATAATGGGGAAATGCTCAGGTTCCTGCTGATGGATATTTTAAAGGATGCTTATGCTGAAAGATGCACTTGCACGCTTGAGATTTATTGTGTTGTGCATTTTGTACTTTAATGTCTGAAAAGGAAAGTGGAAATCTCTGCAGTGTCTGCAGTAGCAATGCACATTTCCTGTGTTTGCATTGGGGAGCAATGGGAGGAATATTAATTAGGCTTAATGCTATTCTTTTTTTAATTAAAAAAACCCCAACTTTAAAATGTTTTTGTGCTTGGCACGACTGAAACGTATCCAAAGAACAGAAATTGTTTTCAGATATTCTCTTCCATTTAGTAATTTAAGATGATACAGGGTCTGTTCACATGTAGATAGGTCAGTCTATCAAGCTAAAAGTGGTGCAGGATGACAGCTAATTCTTATCCCAGTTTCCCAGAGTTGTAGGTTCACACACAATGTTTTACCATGAACACACTTATCTACTTGACATTTTCCACAGAAAATATTAAAATAATGCACCTTCATGGTGATAGTTGGTATATTTCATCAAGGGACTTATACTTTCTCCCTAAAGCAGTAAATACCGATGGTCACCCCATTGAGGGTGAAACGAATGCTCCATCATTTAAATCTTAACCATGTGATTTACATTGGGCTGGCTTCGTCATATCAGAACGAATGTGGGAAATTTGCTTGTTAACATACATCCTGGGAGGTTTATAATATGAAGCATTCTTGTGGTCTTACTCTCCGTTTGATGGTGTGATTTTTAGATTTGCTGCTTTGAGCTCTGTTTGTTTGTGAAAAAGGTTGAAAGGGCCCATGCCGGGTTTAAGAGCTGCTCTTGCCCCTCTGTGTTGCGCTTGACTTGATCAAATGGATCTTTTTTTACGGGGCTGCTGTAAAGCTAATGATCTAATGGAAAACTTAACTTATTTATCTATGGCAAGTGTGTTTCTGGAGCAGCTGGGATGTGCCAAAAAGTGACATGACTACCAAAACACTTTCCACAAACAAAAGTGCACTGAAATATGCAAACCTTCCCTGTGTTGTCCATTTGCCAAATGTGCCGACCTTGGCCAGTATTTCAGCAGCCCCTGCCCTAAAAGTATCTCCTGCATTTATGTGCAACTATAGAGGTGGTCAGATTTAGGAGGAAAGTGGAGGCAGGACCTACCATATGGAGCCTGAAGCTCAAGGCTAATTTATTGGTCTCTAAGCTAATGGTGGCCCATATTTTTATAGCCCTAGACTTGCCCTCGAAGCCACAAGTTCTAAGTCTTAAATTGCACTGTGCTCCTATGCCTCTCTGTTGGTAATAATGTACATATAGCCTAGATTTTTTTGTAGATATTAAATTTTAAATGACATTTTTAATTACCTCCCCCCAAAATACTTCCCTTCCAGACATGACTTTTTTTACACCTTGAACAATTAACACGAAGTTGGGTACCATGTGGGTAGGGAGGAAGAAGAGAAGCAGATCCTACATTGGCTTTTAAGTAACAATGCATGTTAAGCGGAGAGAAACTGTTTGACAAAATCTAGCTATGTTCTGCTTAATAAAGAATTCACCAATATTCTGTGTGAGCATTTTATTTAACGAAGTTTATTTAAATACAGGTTAGCTGACAGCAACCTCTAAATGGTTTGCATAATAGAACAATTTTGAATCTTTAAAAAGCAACAATGAAAGCCAACATTAAAAACAGGTCAGCACGAAAACAATTTTTAGCAGGCATCAAAAACAATATGGTGAAGGTAAGCCTGTCCAATATCAGTGGGCAGGAAGTTCCCAAGTCTACATGCTGCCACAATGAAGGGTGAATTGCTTGCAAGTGTGAACATTACGTGGCCGTTGTGAGAGGAGTGTGTTGCTCTTGAAGTTATAGGAGTACTGTATATGCTTGACAATACTCTGGTACTGCCCAAAATGGGCAGTACCACCCCCTGGGGGGTGCTGGAACAATCCAGGGGGGCAGTAATAGCCTTGGTTGCAATTGTGGAGCACTGAATAAAAATAAAGGCAGTGGAAGCATAAAGAGAATAAAATTTTGAAAAACCATTCATACATATTTCATCTGTTGTGTAACAACACTTGCAGGATGGTGGCGTCGCCTCCCCTAGATCCTGCTGTCATGCTGGAGGCGAGGGGTTTTCCCAGGCTTCAGTCAGGCCTGGGAAGTGGATTGCAGCTGGCCTGCTTATTTGGCCAATGGCAGGCATGCTGTGGCCCTGGGGTGGATCAGACTGAGCCAGCAGGCTTCACTCCGGTCTGCCCCATGGGTTTTTACAATATCTTTCTTGTAAGACATAGGCAGAAATTGTTGTTGTTGTTTAGTCGTTCAGTCGTGTCCAACTCTTCGTGACCCCATGGACCAGAGCACGCCAGGCACTTCTGTCTTCCACAGCCTCCCGCAGTTTAGTCAAACTCATGCTGGTAGCTTCGAGAACACTTTTACAGCATTGGACTTTCCTTTCGCTTCCACGCATATCCGCAACTGAGCATCCTTTCGGCTTTGGCCCAGCCGCTTCATCAGCTCTGAATCTACTTCTACTTGTCCTCCGCTCTTCCCCAGTAGCATGTTGGACGCCTTCCGACCTGAGGGGCTCATCTTCCAGCGTCATAACTTTTATATGCCTGTTGTCTTTGTCCATGGAGTTTTCTTGGCAAGGATACTGGAGTGGCTTGCCGCTTCCTCCTCCAGGTGGATCACGTTTGGTCAAAACTCTCCACTATGACCTGTTCATCTTGAGTGCCCTGCTAGGCATAGTTCATAGCTTCTCTGAGTTATACAAGCCCCTCCGCCCATGGCAAGGCAGTGATCCATGAAGGGGATAGGCAGAAATATAGATACATAAAAGAAGGCAGATTTGTCACTGCAACTTTCTGTTTGCTTAAAGAAGGTAGATTTCCAGGGGGACATTGATTCTTTTTTTTTCCTGAAAAGGGGGCAGTAATAATAATAATAATTTATTATTTATACCCCGCCCATCTGGCTGGGTTTCCAAATAAGTTTGAGAACCTCTGCTGTGGACCATTGACCAACATCCACTGACTTAGAGAGGTTTGCTTTGGGATAAGGTGAAAGCTGAGGGGTCAGGGTGGGACTGGCTCTTGTTTTCTTTTTACTGGGAATGGCTGGCGGAAAGATACAAGTCTCCCCAGTACCCTTTTGTTGATTAACATAATATAACCTTTACAATTAAGCATATGTAATACAGGTTCGCCCCTGCGTGCAAACCAGACTCCTTTGCAGTGATGCATCTTGGGTTTCTTACAGTAAGGGTACATTACCACCCTCCACCACTGGGTGGCTTCTGTTTTTGTATGGCTTTGCACCTACACGTCCATGCCTTGCACCTGCGAAGCCTTCTGAGCATTGACACGGTTCCATGCATGTGCTTTGGCCCCAAAGAACAAAGAAATGGGCTATTCCTCCTGCACAGGTTTGTCTGCTCCCCTTTTACCCTTAAAAAGTAGTTTAAACAGGTTTTTCAAGTCCCGTGCAAGAACACCCTTGCCCTGTGGGTGCATGATTCTTAAACCGTGAAGAGAACACTGGTAAAATGATTAGGTTGAACCAAGCTCTTATAGGACTCCCCTGGCTATATTTTGTGTATATGTTTTAACAGGGGTGGGTGCCCCTTGGCTTGCGGTGTGGTTTGTCCCTAGGACAATAATCTTTTGCCATGGTTATGTTGCTTTCCTGTTTTATTTCTTAATCTTGCTTTAGTTTTGTCCGGTTCAGGAAGCTTATATGAAGAGCCCTGTTGCATCAGGCCCAAAACACATCTTAGTCCAGCATCTGTTGGCTAACCAGATGCCTATGAGAAGCCCACAAGCCGGATGTGAGTGCACCAATGCTCTTCAACTTTCATTTATTCTGTCTTAATTAGGAAGCTTCACTAGAATAAAAGTTTAAGAAGCCAACACCTTGCTGTGTGGCTACTTGTTCCTGTTACAAATCCTGTTGTTTATAGGTGGCCTTTAGTGTGGTAATACCACTGTTGCTGGCGTCTTGTCTCTCTCTCTCTCTAGAGACAATGGAAGAGTATGCCATTGGGGGTGAAGTCAAAACTGTTGAAGAGTTACAGCGCCTGCTGTGGCTGGAGAGAAGCAAGAGACGTTTGGTTGCAGCCGGGGCAGGTGAAGGCATTCAATTTTGCTGGGGCAGATGTGCCATGGCAATACTACCAAGAAGGTAAATACTGACCCACAGGCAAAGAGGAGAAGTGGAGCAGGAAGGTTGCTCAAGTGAGGAATAGGTGCAAAGTATGTGAGACATGAAGGGATGGGGGTGGTACTGTGGGTTAAACCACAGAGCCTAGGACTTGCCGGTCAGAAGGTCGGCCCCGCGATGGGGTGAGCTCCCGTTGCTCGGTCCCTGCTCCTGCCCACTTAGCAGTTCCTAAGCACGTCAAAGTGCAAATAGATAAACAGGTACCGCTCTGGCGCGTTTCCGTGCGCTGCTCTGATTCACCAGAAGCAGCTTAGTCATGCTGGCCACATGACCCGGAAGCTGTATGCCGGCTCCCTCGGCCAATAAAGCGGGATGAGCGCTGCAACCCCAGAGTTGGTCATGACTGGACCTAATGGTCAGGGGTCCCTTTACCTTTACTATGTGAGACATACCTTTTGGCTGGAAAGGAGTCGCTTCAAGACTCCCTTGAAAAGACCCTGATGTTGGGAAAGATGGAGGGCACAAGGAGAAGTTGACGACAGAGGACGAGATGGTTGGACAGTGTTCTCGAAGCTACTAGCATGAGTTTGACCAAACTGCGAGAGGCAGTGGAGGACAGGAGTGCCTGGCGTGCTCTGGTCCATGGGGTCACGAAGAGTCGGACACGACTGAACGACTAAACAACAAAACTGGCAGCTTGTCTTACCACTGGGGGGGGGACCACCACACTTCCCTTAACCAGGTGCCCTCCAGCTGGTCTGGACTACAATTCCCATCAGCCCCAGGCAAAAACAAACAAACAACGGGCCCGCCCAAGCACCCGCCTTAAGAGACAGCAGGGTTCCCCCCTCCCCCCAGAAACAGCCACCCTGCGCGATGTTGCTCCTAAACAGCATGCGACATGTTTCCTTCGAACTCGCTTCACGGATCCCTCTTCATGTCTCTCCCTATCTCCCTGCAATACAGATACGAAGAACATGCCGCTTTCTGCGGCCGCGCGCGCTGGTAGTCCGCGCTTCGCTTCCTTTCCCTCGGGCCGCTTCTTCATTCATTCGGCCTGTGGGGAGGAATCCTGCAGGCGCGTCGGAGGAAAGCCGCGGGGCAAGTGCGGAAGATTCCTCCCCGGTAGGAAGGGCAAAGAGCTGCAGAGGCAAGCCCGGCTCGGGAGGAGGAGACTGCGAGCGCGCTGCCAAATCCGAGAGGGGGCAGATCCGCGCCCCGGAGCCCGTCTGATCTCGGCGGGAGGAGGAGGAGGAGGAGGAGGAAGAGGCCGTTGGCGAAGAAAGGGGCGGCGGGCAAGATGAAAGGGAGCTGAGCCGAGGGGCGACCGGCACTTGGCACGAGTCTGCGCAGGGAAAGAAGGACGGGTGGCGGCAGCAGCAGCGGAGCAAAGGGGACCTGGGTTGCCTCGCAGAGCTCTGGGCCGGGCCGGGGGCAAAGCGCCTCGTGCCGGAGGAGTCGCAACTTCGGGCGTCGAAGGGACGCCTGGGCCCCCGGGGAAACTTTGCGAAGAGCCGTCGAGAGGGAGGAAAGAGCCGAGCGCCTTCAGAACAAAGAGTCCTTCGCCTGCGGAGCCGGGCGGGGGGCGGAGAGCCGGAGCAAAATGCCAGCTCCACGAGAGGCGCCTCGACCCTTTGCCGCGACGCCAGCCGCAGCCGAGGTAACCTGGGACATGCGGCGGCTGCGGGCCGAGGAGCGGCTGGCTGAGGCGGATCGGCGCCGAGCGGCGGGAAGGGAAAGCGGCGAGACTCGGGCTCCTCCCGTTCGGGGCTGAGGTGGCGGCGACGACAGCGCCAACGTCGCCCAGAGGATCCCGGGTGCATGGAGCCGGCGGCGGAGACTGGAAGCGGGAGCTCTGCGGAAGGGAGGACGACGCTTCCCCGCGGCGCCAAAGGCAGCGGTTTGTGGCCCCTGGAGGAAGGAGGGGAGCGGCTCGGCGGGATCAGCGCGCCGCGCGCCCCGGAGTTGTTTCAAGGGACTCCGGGGACCGGGCGCGGAAGGAGGAGACGCCGGATTGCGCAAAGGATTATCGAAAGGGGGGACCGCGAGTGAAAGAAGGGAATCCCCCCCACACACTCCCCGTCGGCTCTCCTCTCTTCCACATCTCGGATCCTCCTCCTCCTCGCTTTCTCCCCAGTTACTCTCCAGCATCATTGGCCCGGCCACCGCCAGCAAGGGCGAGTAAATTAAAACGTGCTCAGCAAACTGCAAGAGAGATCAGAGGGACAGTGGAAACCCGAGCCGCGGAGGGGGGCGCCGTGCGTGCGCGTGTAGGAGAGAGAGAGAGAGAGAGAGAGAGAGAGAGTCCTTCCCTCTCCTAATCTTTTCTCTCGCGCCCACTCTGGAGCTACTCTGCTTCTCTGGACCTTTCCAGAGACGCAGTCTCGAAGCAGAAGGCTGAAAAAAGGATTGCTCTCGCTTGGGGGTTTTTTTCTTTTTCCTCATCTGTTTTCTCCTTCTCCGTTCTCCACCTTCAGGGTCTGGGTTGGTTGGTTGGTTTCTTGCGAGACCGGCGAGGTTGGATTATTGGTGCGCGCTGCCCGCCTTGTGAGTAGTGTGTGTGCTTGGCAAGGAGGAGCGGTGGAGTTGGGAGGAAGAGATGTCTAAGATCGGAGGGAAAATTGTGCTTATCCTTAGCTTCGTGTTTCTGACGACTTGCCTCGATGCGGCGAAAGGGCTGCCCTTGAGGAAACAGCGCAACCACAGTCCGAAGGAAAGGAACTATAAGTTGGTAGAGGTGAGTGGAAGCAACGCATTGCCGCTTGGAGAGTAGGAGGGCCTTCCTTAGATGACATTGTTACTCCAGCTTGACTCCCCTTCGTCTCTTGACAGCCAATAAACTCTGCGAGGTCCAGGGTCTTTAAAACCAGGTCAGTGCTGACTTCTGTGATCTGAAGGCAGGTAGTCACTAAAATGATAGAAGTGATGCCTCCCCTTCCCTTTATTGATCCAAATTACATTTGCACAACCAATTTTGTACATTGTGCATATAGTCAACACTACACAGTTTAGTGTTCCATTAACATTTTTCCCCCGCCACAATCTCCAATGTTGGATAAGGTGATGGATTTCCTCACCCTTCCTATGTATGCATCCTTTCTAGTAAAAGTGGGAGGTTTTCAAATCAGCAGTCACTACATAACCAAGCAAGCATGGAGCTGGAACATGGAGCACCAGATTGTGATCTTATGTGGTGTTTGAGACTCACAGGGCCACTGTACTTCTAACTTTAAGCATTTGCTTAAACCCAAAAGGCTGCTTCGGAATCTGGTCAGTTTTAAAAGTGAAAGCACACCAGCAAGTACAACATTTCTTGAGAGCAATGTGGCAAAGCATTGTCTCTTAAATATAAATGTGAGCTTCAGTGTGAATTCCCAAAATTCAGCAGGGAGCACTTGGGTTAAAGTCCGGCTCTTACACAGATGGCCCCTTGCTCTAGACAATAAGTTTCTATCTCCTCTAACTGTGTAAATAAATAGTACTAACTTTATGGCTTTGGGTGCAGCCTTCATCTCCATAGGCAGATGTCATTGTTGCTGATGGCCTTGGCTACATTCTGAAATCATTGATACCAGTTAGGTGAAGCATTGGAGGTTGGGGTGGTTACTGTTTTTCCATTCTGTTGAAAGCATCCTCTTGTTGCATCAAGGATGGCATCAGCAGGATTATGCCCAGGAAATAATAACTGCATCCAGCGCTGCATTCATAATGTTTTTCTGGAACATCAGAGCCAGCTGAATCAGGACACTGGTCCATCTTGTCCAGCATCCTTGTCTCGCTCTGGTCAGCCAGATACTTACGGGAAGCCCCAAAGCTCAACCTGAGTGCAACAGTGCTCTCTCCCCACTTCTGATTCCCACTACCGGCTTTCAGATGCATATTGCTTCCAGCCGTGGAAATAGAACATTATGAAAGTAGAAACTTATTTTTCTCCCTTTTGCAATTGCAGCTGAGTTGCACAGGTCATTTCACACATTACTCAGGGCAAACACAAATGCAGGATTGCCCAGGAGTGTGCACTCAAAAAAGGAGCTGCAGCCATTCAAAGGCCCCTAATAAGTGTATCTGCCTGTTAGCATGTGTGTTTGCAATCACATGTCTGTTGACTTCAGGGCGTACATCTTTCAAGGGCACTTTGTTTCAAGGGTAGCTGTTCCGCACAATCCTCACTCCTCAGTGGTTGTTGTCCCAGTAACACCTGAGCCTTGTTTTATTACACCTGTAGCCTACCTTTCCTTCAAGGTGTCATAATTGGTTCTCTGACCAACCATTCTAGGTTGTGGGATTACCTAGGAGCTCCTCTTTGCTTGTGGGTTGCTGGGTTTGATAGGGACATTGCCATGGGAGACGAAGCCAGCAATCGGTCTAGCTTGGCATTTTCTGTTCTGACAGTGAATGATAAAATTGCCTTTGGAAAGATTATATCGCATTTATACCCAGGGCAATTATGTCCACATATGTGGATATAATTGTTTAATATTGGCTCTGAATGTGGTGGTTACAGCCATTGACATATACCTCTGCATATTGAATTTTTTGTTACGCCAATCATGCATGTATCGCAACATCTTGTGGCAATTAATTCCATAGGTTCAGGGATTTTTTCCCCCTTTTTGACAGAGATCTTTTATGAGTTCTAATCAGTTTATAGGCAGTTGGTGTCTGGATGTAGTTAGGATTGGTAGCTACATTTGTCATAGGAGTCTGTGTGAGAGAAAGAAAGCTACCTTGTATGTGCACACTAACGTATTTCATGAATAGTTTTCTTTATCTGTTAAATTTATACTCTGCTCTAGTAACAGGATGCTCTGTTTATTATTTTATTGCAAAGTATATATTATTCTTTTATACAATGGAATTGTCCTTATTCCCAATAGAATAGAGGAATGGCCTGTAGCTCTGCGGTAGAACATCTGCTTTTCTTGTAAGGATCCCAGATTCAGTCCTTGACATTTCCAGGCGAATGTACTCTGTCAGTGTCCACAATATTGAGCTAGCTGGGCCAATGATCCGACTTGAAGTAAGGCAGTTTTGTATTTTTCCAAGTCAGCTGTTTTTTTGTTTGGCTTTTTGCTCAGGCAGAGCAAGAATTGTAGAAGCAGTTGCAAAGCATGGAATGGCATTCAAGGGGTGGAAAGAAGAGAAATGTGAATTGTGTGTGCTTCACAACTGAAGAGTAAGCATAGAATCATAGAACGGTGGCGCCCTGAGGATCATGTAGTCTAACTCCCTGCAGTGCAGGAATATGCAGCTGTCCCATACAAGGACCAAACCTCCAACCTTGGTGTTCTCAGCACCAGGCTCTAACCAACAACTCATGGCCATCTAAAAAGGAGCCCCTTCCATTAAGTCCAGGGTCTAAATTTACTGTGTTTCTCCACAATATATTCTCTCACAATATACTCTAATCAGTCCAATTTGCCAACAGAAGAGTAGGGTGACATTTGGGGCACTGAGGAGTCTGATGCTACACGGAGTCTGATGTTGTGGGGTTGTGAGTGTTCAACATTGGACCAAGGCCTCTTGAACATTGCATTGCCCATAGCTACTGGAAGTTAACACCGAACAGAATAACTTTGACAAAGGCATAAGACAAAGTAGATGTTTTACGAGGCTTCCCATCAGAGCCGCTGCTGGGACGCGTTCCTTTCAGCGTCATCCCTGCCCTGACTGTCCCTGTAAGGTTTATTTTCTCTTCAATTTTGTGGCCAGGGATGAAGGCAGGCGATTCCCTTCTCCGGAGCCCATCTGTCTCCTGCTGCTTATTCCTGACCTACGGGCGTCATTCTCTCCCTTCTTGACGTCTGTCCTTGTCTTGGCAGCAGATAATTGTCCTGTCACAGACAGTGGGTAAATGATGGCTCCAGGTGGGGGCAAGGGGGTGTGTGGTTTTGGAGGGGGGCAGCTGCTCATGTGCCTTGGCTGAGCATGGAGGAGGCTGGCTTTGCCTCTGTGTGTGGAATGTCTGCCCCACCCAGGGGGGAGTCGCTGTTTCTCTAGATGTGCTTTTTTACCTTTTCATTACTTCAGCAATTAAGTGCCCTGGCCCCCTGCTTTGTCCTTGGCTTGAGGTCGGGTTTGCAGGCACAAAACATGCACGGAAACAGCATCTGGCCGAAGAGGGCTTATTGTGCAAAGGAAGGTGCTTTATCCTTCGATAGCAAGCTTCTGTTTTGAGAAGTGCCAAATTATCTTAGTCAAAATGGTGGGGCAAGAAAGGTCTGAGACAGCAGGGATCCAGCTGAGAGGAGATGGGATTCACTGGGATGGAGATACTTCATCCAGTTTCTCTGGACAAATAAGTCTGTTGACTTTTCTATCAGGGGAATCAAAGAGTTTCCCTCTGAGGATGTTTGAAGAGCTGATATATCCCTCTGAGGATGTTTGAAGAGCTGATATATTCTTAATCCTTCCACACACCCTAGGCGGGCTGTTTTAGGTTGCAGTGTGGTGGAAGAAATGAATGAGAGGTCAAATGAAAACAAAGAGCTGATATGAAGCAACAACAAAAAGTACTTTGCAGATTTTCTCGCCACTCACCCACCTAAAGCCTCAGTAACTAGGAATCAAAGGAGAAATTCCTAAGATAAATGTGGGAGCAGTTTTAGAGACCTCCATCGACTGGGGCTGTTGTGACATCACAGAAGTGCAATTCTGACAGCAGCTCAGCACGATGTTCTCAACAAACCTTAAAATCATCTGTTGACAGTCATTTTCTTGGTTGGATGTTGCTTTCTTCTAGCTGCCTCCTGCTTCTGGCAAAAAACCCGGTTGCTTTTGACTTTTTCATTTTCTGATTTATAAACATCATGGAGGTGAAGTGTGGGACCAATTGCACTTGTTGAACTTCTGTCTTGCATGCAGTTGTCAAAGCCCCAGAGACCGCAGCAGGAAAAGAGATGGCAACCTAATTTAAGGGGGGGGGGGACAACAGAGGTCAAAAGAGGAATCACTGTGGTGGAAATGTACTCCTGCACTTGTCTGTTCCAGTGTGAAAGGTGCAGAGACCACTGTTTATGACTGTGCCCTTTCCAGCTCCTCTTTGCTCATTCATTTACTCCTCCATGCATGTTCAATTCGGCACAGCAAACGTGGCTAAAAGGACCCTCAACCCAGCTCATATTTTGCTAATTATCTCCAGCTGCTCTGCTGCCCTTATGGGCTGCTGGCCTAGGCAAGCATCCGTCTTGACCAACTGGTGGGGAGGAAGGGAGCAGGCATGTTTTTGGGTGCTCTCAGGGCAACAGGCAGTGGCACATGGAGTGTCATAACCCAGAGGGCACCAGGTGCAGGCCTCTGTGTAACGTCTTTCCCAAGATAAGAGGCCGCACAGATGTCTTCAGCTCACATCTGCTTCACGCTGCCTTCCCTCTCCTCCCCCTCCACCCCAGTTGACAGAGTTGCGGCTGCATTGCTTGGCCAAGCCAGCTGCTCCTTAAATCTATGCTCTGTCAAATGAGACAGCTTAGCGACTTTCTCTCCCTGGATGTATAGATGGGGGAATCCCCTGGAGGTTTCTGCAAGGAACTTGACACTCAGATATATGTCCTGCTTTTTCAACTCTGCTTGGAGCGCATAATTTGTGCTCTGCAGCTGTATTTCAATCCTGTTTGCATGACGCGCCCCTTCTGGTTTTCTGTCCAGCAACTGTGTGCAGGTGGTGTAACTTACATTCTTCAGTTACTGGGGTGCACATGTACAGGAAATTGAGAGCACTTGATCTGCAGTTTCTAACCT